ATCGATTTGGTCGATAAATTCAAAGTATTTTTCCACGTGTACGAAAGTTCGGCATCGACGACGATCATAATAATATATAATACTGTCTTATAACGGTGATCACCGCTCTTTAGCGAGCAGGTCTTAAAAGTTTTAAATGTCGAAATAATATACGGACCCGTAGGACAAATACAATACGCATGCGTTATAGAATGGAGAACTTTCTGCAGTCAACAGATGAGATAGCGAGATACGAGAACCTATAATATTATTTTGTTACTTTAATATACTATTATTGTTATTATTATTATCGGGACACGYGAATACCTGTATACCTGTACTGCCCACGGTAACAATAATACTTAATAGTGTATTAATAATAATAGTGCAATTATTATTATAGTTAAATCCAAAAACCGCACACTTGAAATGCAGGACATAGTCGCACTCTTCTAGTGTGTTAAAAACGCACACTTTTTTAAGGCTGTTGTGTCCAAAACCCAAACAATTTTAAATTTMAAATGRTAATTCTTTCTTAAAAATGAATGTATTAATATTTTTGAATGTAAAATAAACTATTTATTAATTTTTTTTTTAATAAAAATACATTTTTATCAGAATTATTACTCATCACAATAATTACATTAGAATCTGTATTTTATTACATTTTATTATAGTATAATAGTATAATCTCATCTTATTTATCAACACTAGACATTTTTCTATTTTGAGTGGTAAGAATATCATAATGTATTATTTAATTTTTATATTATGATTATTCGATGTTTTAAAGTTGATGACATTCGAAATACCCACCTTCTAAGTTCTAGTCTGTAGATTAAAAACAGTGCCCAATATTTTACTTCTTATACTATTAGACGACAAAATGAACGTTTTTTGGTTTTAATCGTTATTTTACCGCTGTTYGCAAATTGATTGAATAATAAATATGTTTAAAATAAAATATATTTTTGCTATAATAGTTGTTTGTATGAAAATAATAATTTCGTTTCACAGTCCCTTCGGACTAGTGTTTGTATCGTTGTTGAGGTCGAAGTTGTTGTAATTCGCGTATACATACTACTGTTAAMTTGTTTTGTTTGTTTCGTGTAGTAGATCGTAGAGCCACTTGTTAGGTGTGGACGATCCGTTTACATTTTCATTTTACTTTTGTTTTTACAGGACAAACTGTTGAACAAACTAGACG